CATGTAGGAGATCCGGTAGGCGTATGGCTGTAAGTCCCACTCGTTCTACTAGTGTGGATTATGCTATAGAATGAACCATGACTAGAGGCATCGAAATGTCTTTGCATTCTATGGTGGGATTTCGCGGGTCGGTGAAAGATCCATCTTTGAAGGCTTTGTTTGTGAAAATCTCTCCATGTATACATTCGTAATTTGTCCTTATTGATTCCTTCAGTTGAACATTTTGCGATTGTATTCGATTCCATTTGATATGATTATATTTGTATTTTATTAAAGTTTATATTTCTTCAGCATTTACTGAGTTTCTACGTTTCTTTCTGAGCTGTATTATGTCGTTTAGGCTGATACTTAGTCACGGTGACAGAAATATTGATTTGTCCCTCTTTTGATTGTGTTGCTTGCTTGGGATGGAATAGTGCATTTTGATTGCGAGTTAAAGCACTCTTCCACAATTGAAAACACTGTGTTATAAAGAAACCAAATATTATCTTTCGAACGAATCTGAACTATCCCGTAGGGATAGAATATCATTTATTCATTGCTGTTGATTTGAATAATTGGACGATTGCTGGTGGAATTACTAACTTACTTACATTACTTACGCCTCTTACCCTCAATGGAGCATAGGCCGCCCACCAGTTTTCTCCAACCAACTCTGTCCTGGGCTTCCCTCTCCAGTTCTGTCCAATTTTTGTTCATTCCTCTCATATCTTTCTCTATTTCTCGGCGTAATTTGTTCCTTGGCCTTCCTCTTTTCCTTTTGCCTTGAGGATTTCGTGTGAGGGCTTGTCTGGTGACGCAGTTAGGTGCTTTTCGTAGTGTGTGTCCTATCCACTTCCACCGCTTCTTCCTGACTTCCTCCTCCACTGGAATCGTGTTCGTTCTCTCCCACAGTTCGTTGTTGCTGATCGTGTCTGGCCAACGAATCCGAAGTATTTTGCGTAGACAGCTGTTAATAAACACTTGTATCCTCTGGATGATGGCTTTGGTAGTTCTCCATGTTTCCGCTCCATACAGTAGAACTGTCTTGACGTTTGTATTGAAAATCCTGATTTTGGTTTTGGTTGAAAGTTGTTTGGAGTTCCAGATATTTTTCAACTGTAGAAATGCAGCCCTCGCTTTGATTAAGGAGGCAATCACTTCAACATGTCACGAAGTTCTGGGTCACAAGAAGTACCATCACAAGGAATGGATCTCTGTTGATACTCTCGCAAAAATTGAAGAAAGGAGGAACAAGAAAGCAGCAATCAATGTCAGCAGAACAAGAGCAGAGAAAGTTACCGCACAAGCTGCATACACAGAAGCAAACAGGGAAGTGAAGAAGAGCATCAGAGCTGACAAACGAAAATATGTGGAAGATCTAGCAATGACGGCGGAAATGGCTGCAAGAGAAGGAAACTTGAGACAATTGTACGAAACAACAAAGAAGCTGGCCGGAAACTATCGTAAACCAGAACGACCAGTGAAAAACAAGCAACGCAAAGTAATCAGCAACACTGAAGAACAGCGAAACAGGTGGGTAGAGCACTTTAAGGAACTATTGAATCGACCAGCTCCACTGAACACACCCAACATCGAAGCAGCATCCACGGACCTCCCAATTAACATTAGCTCACCTACGATTGAGGAGATCAGTATGGCCATCAGACAAATCAAGAGCGGCAAAGCAGCAGGACCAGACAACATTTCAGCAGAGGCAATGAGAGCAGATGTAGAAGCAACTGCGAAAATATTTCACATCCTTTTCAAGAAGATTTGGGATACCTCATCAAAATACCAAAGAAAGGCGATCTGAGCAAGTGTGACAACTACAGAGGCATCACTCTTCTCTCAATACCAGGCAAAGTCTTCAACAGGGTGTTGTTAAACAGAATGAAGGACTTCGTAGACGCCCAACTTCGAGATCAACAGGCCGGATTTCGTAAGGATCGATCGTGTACTGACCAAATTGCTACATTACGGATCATTGTGGAACAATCGGTTGAATGGAACTAACCACTGTACATCAACTTCATCGACTACGAAAAAGCATATGATAGTGTGGATAGGAAAACACTGTGGAGGCTTCTTCGACACTACGGTGTGCCTGAGAAAATAGTTAACATCATACGGAATACTTATGATGGATTCAACTGCAAAGTTGTACACGAAGGACAGCTAACAGACTCTTTCGAGGTGAAGACCGGTGTCAGGCAAGGTTGCTTACTCTCACCCTTTCTCTTCCTGCTCGTCATCGACTGGATTATGAAAACGTCAACATCTGGAGGGAAGCACGGTATCAACTGAACAGTTAGGACGCAGCTGGACGATCTGGACTTTGCAGATGACCTGGCTCTTCTATCGCACACTCAACAAATGCAAGAGAAGACGACCAGTGTAGCAGCAGCCTCTGCAGCAGCAGGTATCAACATACATAAAGGAGAAAGCGAAATTCTCCGATGCAACCCAACATGCACCAACCAAATCACTCTTGATGGAGATGCCTTGGAGGACGTCAACACTTTTACATATCTTGGCAGCATCATCGACGAGAAAGGTGGATCCGATGCAGATGTGAGGGCGCGGATTGGCAAAACAAGGGCTGCATTTCTACAGTTGAAAAATATCTGGAACTCCAAACAACTTTCAACCAAAACCAAAATCAGGATTTTCAATACAAACGTCAAGACAGTTCTACTGTATGGAGCGGAAACATGGAGAACTACCAAAGCCATCATCCAGAGGATACAAGTGTTTATTAACAGCTGTCTACGCAAAATACTTCGGATTCGTTGGCCAGACACGATCAGCAACAACGAACTGTGGGAGAGAACGAACACGATTCCAGTGGAGGAGGAAGTCAGGAAGAAGCGGTGGAAGTGGATAGGACACACACTACGAAAAGCACCTAACTGCGTCACCAGACAAGCCCTCACACGAAATCCTCAAGGCAAAAGGAAAAGAGGAAGGCCAAGGAACAAATTACGCCGAGAAATAGAGAAAGATATGAGAGGAATGAACAAAAATTGGACAGAACTGGAGAGGGAAGCCCAGGACAGAGTTGGTTGGAGAAAACTGGTGGGCGGCCTATGCTCCATTGGGGGTAACAGGCGTAAATAAGTAAGTAATATTATTTATTATGGCAGTAATTACTCAACATATAATTTAAAGTAATTCATCACAGAATATTTCATCAATTGTTTCAGTTTATACTGCCAGTTTGTAGATTAAACTAGAAGGGTTTATCTCAGACAAATAAATTTAGGAAATATACAGACATGATCCAATAGCCCATTATAACTCTTGGTAAAGATCTCAATCGAAGTGATAATCTTAAGCATGCTAACGACATCGGTAAAGCTGTTCCAGACAGAGCATGCTAAATGAGATCGATAGCAAACACAAACTGCATAATCTCCATGATTCAAATCCCTAGCTTGTAATTTGAACCAGGTTTTATTAAAAAATTGTATTTTCAGTAAGTTGAAATTAGCTTAGATTGTACGTTTTGAACAGATTTAAAGGTGAAATTTCTAGACATATGAACCGATAGTACGTTATATATTTTTTTCGATAGTAAGACAGAACTGCAATTTAGGATCAGTGAAGAAACCCAAAACTTACTTGTCAACGCCGCACAGTGAATCCGAAGTTAACAGTATCGAATCATTTTGAGAAATACTAACAGACTGAAATAGTGTTGAATGAAAATTTTTTGTAGTAATCTAGCGCATACAGGACTCATTCAGCAACTATCTGACCACAACATAGATTACGCGTATCTGACTCAGATGCTGATAAAAATGAAGCAACCAGAATGAAGGAGATATTGTTCGATTTTCAACCAACAAAAAGTTATTTTGGTTTATTTATCACAGTCACTATAACTATTTTTATTTGATGAAACTAAGAAATACTGTTTAGGTAATTTTAATTGGTATACAATACAGATGATTCGCGTAGCAGCCGAACTACCTATTTTGATACGTTTCCTAGGAACGCCAACGGCATGGCTCGAGATGTCCACTCGTGTTTAGTTGAATTAATAGTACAACGTTCTAAATTAACAAGAACAGCTGCAACCAGTTATTTGCTGGACCTGCGAAAGCAAGGACGATATCGTACCGATGTATGGAAGTAATTGTGAATATGCTTCCGACTAATATGTACAGTGTAACAGTTTTGTATGGACCTTTGTTGATAGCACTTAATTAATAAAGTCTTGCTAACATGTCAAGAATTTTTATCTTCATATAACTCTAAAGTGATTTAAAAACGGTGTATTTATCTGGTTGAAATACATTTATAACAGCGGCGGCTTGTTGTAAAATATCCTTTTTCAGAAATAATGTGTCCAACCTAAAAATGACTGAATCTTTCCAGTAATGGTATTGAACTTATCATACAGTAGACGCATGTTATATAAGGCTACGGTCAATATGTACTTTCAGTAACACTATTACGGAATAATAACTCTCGTTAATGTCAGAAGAGATAATAGTAATACTACTAGAGTATATATCGAGGAAAACTGTCGTTATGAATACAGCACAATATTAAAAGTTAGTTGAAAATAACAGGAAGACGAGGTTTCATCAATGTTAACTCGAGTGCGTTGTGCATGCCGAGTCATCGCCTACAACCAGTTGAAGTGGGAATAAAAATACAGCAGTTTTAAACATTATTTGACGGCTGAAGATGTGTCTGATTGGTGGAAATATCTTTACTCTTAGGATTGTTACAAATAATGAACCTTTTAGGATTGCTTTCTCGGCTCGCTTTTGTTTACATAGTTCTCGAATTTTCTTTTTTAGTTTACTATCACGCTTAGGATACTTAGATTTCCTATTGTGTTGTTGTATTTAAGAATTGTAAACTAGATTTGTTCGACTAGCATTTACATAAAGTTAGTTTTCCACCAACATTGTTGGACAGTGAATAAAATACACTTCATATAATTTAGTGGTTGGTATGATCTTACAGACATATGAACGATAGCATATTATATAAAGTTCTATTTTCAGAAAAGTATTTATTTTATTCCCAACAAGGGTAGTTCTGATTTCATATTTACAAACGGAATAGTTCGACCGGTCAAAAAGTTACTGATCATTTTTCTTAGAGGCATATCTTCAAATATACTGGAGGCTGTATAGTGGTAGATGACGTTCAAAAATATTGCAACATATTCGACTGCAGAAAACACAGTGTAAACTAAAATAAAAACATTAAGGACAACATAGATAAGTTAATAAATCACATATCACTCATGAATTTTAAATCGAGACAGTACAGCTGCAAATCTATTTGTAAATGAAGTGTAACATTCGGTACTGACAATCAGTTTCTTCCCTCCCGGATTAAGCTTTATCAAGATGGCAGGTAATATACATCTGACAAACATTAGTTCCAATTCGCTTTATCTCAAATGTTTACTAAATGCAATAAAGACAGTGTATTCGTAAGGATAGGGTGCTTCACAAACTTTTATGTTGAATAACTTGAGTCCAAATACATGCACTGGAAATATTGGCAATTTTTCATAGACAGCATTCGATTGCGTCATTTAGTGAGAATACATCTCTTTATGAAACTGATTTTGTCTATCAAATTGATTAACCTATCTCGTTAATATCCACGAACATAATTTAAATGGAGTAAGTAAATTACCTGTTTCCAAGGTTCATAGTAAGTCTGTTAACCAGTGCACAGGTGGGTCAACGTTGAATGAAACATTTACGTGTGAAATTTATGATTATTACACAGTTTTGGATTGCTTTATGGTCCTTTAAAAATATCATATCGGTATTAGAAGAATTTTTTCCGCATTCATATTGAAAATCTATTTATCATGTTACACCTTATCAACTAATAATTCAAAAGTGATAACACTAATCAGTCAGTCAGTTACAATGTAAAAATTCGTACATAAGTACATCAGTCCATACTATCATAGAGCCGCAATCAGTTTGGGACTTATCTGAATGAAATGGAAGATATATTTATTTAAAAGCACTTAGCGTCATTGAGGTCTTAAATAAAATATCCACATTACTTTACAGAGAAAAACATATTGTCAATTATTTCCTACGATGAACAAAATAATTAGAATATTAGATAGATATTCAAGTTGAATAAACATACCATATGGGGGACAAAAAGTCACATGAATCCAGTAACACAGCATTATAGTCAACAAGCAAATGAAGTAGGAAACCATATAACGTTTCTTCCTTTGTAATACATTACTCTGGAAAACGAAAAAACCATCGTAATGTTTAGATAGAAGAATACAGATGCATGAAATACTTATGTACGGTGAGTGAGTCGTAAAGACAAATGTATACACTATTTGAGGTTAAGAAATAAGGAAACTGACCATGGCACACTCATTGACTCCGATTATAATTACAAGCATAGGGTACTCGAACACCACTGGTCGAGTGAGGGTTTATGGCGAACTGTCACCGGAATTCTCTACATCAAGTGGTGTCCGTCAGGGATGTCCACTTTCTCCATTCTTGTTTAATTTTATCATAGACACGCTCCTAGACATAACATTATCCTCGTCTGAATTTTCAGGAGTAGACCTTCTACCAGGTGGCTCGCTTATTGACTTAGAATATGCCGATGACATTGTCCTACTTGGTGAAGGTGCTGACAAAATGCAGAGTCTTCTGACTACCCTAAGCAACAATGCAAGCATGTTCGGGATGCGGTTTTCCCCCTCGAAATGCAAAATGTTGCTTCAAGACTGGGTTGCATCGGCACCTGAACTAGTGATAGGGAGTGAAGTAGTCGAACGTGTAGACCGCTTCACTTATCTTGGGAGTCTCATCAGTGCTGATGGCCTGGTGACTGACGAAATCTCAGCTCGGGTACAGAAGGCTCGACTGGCTTTTGCCAACCTGCGTCACTTATGGCGTAGGCGAGATATCCGTTTGCTGACTAAAGGACGAGTGTACTGCGCAGCAGTTCGCTCCGTCTTACTTTATGGCTGTGAAACATGGCCAGTGAGAGTAGAAGATATTCGTAGGTTACTGGTTTTCGATCATAGGTGTCTTCGAAGCATTGCTCGTATATCGTGGGACACCCGAGTGAGCAACGCTGTTATTAGGAATCGGGTGCTAGGTAAGAATGGCAGATCAATCGATGAAGTATTGAGGTGGTTGGGACATGTGTTGCGTATGCCTAACCACCGGCTGCCTCGTCGAGCCTTGTTTTGTAGTGTAGGAATAGGTTGGAAGAAAGTTAGGGGCGGCCAAACCAAAACATGGCAGAAATCCATGAAGTCATTGACTAGTGGACTGAGCCATGTCGGTAATTGTCGACTACCTGGTTGGGGTCCGCGAGATGATAGTAATCGATGGTTAGAGACCTTGAATGACATGGCTCAAAATCGTTCGCAATGGCGCCGGTGCATTTATTCTCTGTGTTCTCTCAAATGCTAATCTTCTGGATTCTTCAACCCCTCTAGTTTCGACTCTCTAAACTTATCTCATTGAATCATACTTCTTGAATAGTATCTTCTAATCCTAACCTCTCCGATTATTTCTAATTCCCTTACTACCTCTTCTACTATTGGATTTGAATTGACGATTACTTCTCTGTGCTGATGTGGTATGGCAACATGAACTGATGTACTTATGAACAAAGTTCTACGTTGCATCTGACTGACTGACTGACGGACAAGCATAGGGCATTACCATTCAAACTCGTTTTTGAAATCAGTTGCAACTCATCTTTGACGGCAGTTATTTTTTTAAGAAAAGCGTTATCTGGAATTCAGCAGATTAGGATTGTAAAGAACATAAAGAATGAATGCACCTGCGCCACTGCAAACGGTTTAGAGCCATGTCATTCAGTGTCTCTAACCATCGATTACTATCATCTCGCGGACCCGAACCAGGTAGTCGACAACTACCGACATGGCTAAGTCCACTTGTCAGTGACTTTATGGATTTGTTCCACGTTTTGGTTTAGCCACCCCTATTTTTCTTTCAACCTACTTCTACACCGAAAAATATAGCTCGACGAGACAGTCAGTGAAAAGGCATTCGTAACACATGTCGCAACCACCTCAACTAATGTTTTAATACTTCGTCTATTGATTCGCCAACCTTACCTAGTACCTGTTTCCAAATAACTGCATTTCTTACTCCACAGTCCCTAAAGAAACAAACAATGCTTCGGAGACATGATCATTCTGGATGATTTTAATCACATTCAGAGCACTGCCAAACAAAACACTCACCCAATGAATGGTCTGTCCACATGAGCGAATCACTCAAATAAATGACAAAGTTAAACTACTAAAAAAAATTGGATAAAAGAGTATTTTGATAAGCACTTCATTGTTGGGAATCTGGTCAAACTGTCCATATGCATTGGGTAAAGGTTTTCTTACCAGAAAAGTGTCTTGAGTGAGCTTGATTTTATGTTGTGATACGTAAACATCTGTCATCATATAAACCACTGAGAACAAAACAAAAGTACAGAAGTAATTGCGATGCTGAACTAAAAGGAATCGTTTTTAAGTTAGCGCTTACTATAGTTATCAGTTGAAGAAACAATGCTAAGCATATTGAGCGAAATTATCTCAATGAAGCTTGACAGATATAGTAAATTCGGAAGGTAAAATTGACGTCCATTTGAGAATACACTGAACAACTTCCAGGAATTAATGTAACTATTTAGTAAGATCAAAAGCCTCCAAGCAGAACTAATTAAAATGGATATGATCCATATTGCTCTTTGAGGCTGATCTGTTCCAACAGCAGCACTGAGAGATGGTAGGAAATTAGTATCCTGTAAACCTAAGGCTTTGGATTTGACGAACATACCGTGCAATGAGTAGTAACGCATGAATCTGTAGCCAAACACCAAACAACACACATAATCAGTGCAATGGTTGGAAGTGATGCAGCAGCGACGCATACCTGCCGAAATGTTACGGAAAATATCATTACAAGATACAGACAACCTTGTAAAGAAGACCATTTATGTCTAGCGCGGGTGTTTGTCTACAGCCTTCAAGGTATCCAAGATCCAATTTCTTTCTCAAGAGCTAATAATAATCAATTGGTTTGTTCGCTCTCAATTCTTTTTTTTTCCGTATTTTTCCGGGTATTTGATGGTGTTAAATGGACGGGGATCTTGTCACTCGACTTCTGTTGTTGGTTGTGAGTTTGCATGCCCCGTGATTTGTAGGAAACGTTTGTTTCAGGGCTATAGGGTTTTTGAATACTAGCAGCTATAATGTTATCAAGCCAAAGATCAGTTAGTTACAATACAGATAACAATTGGGAGAAGATCCTCACGCTAATAAAATTTCAGAACTATGTAAATAAATGGATAATTTAGTTTATTAATTAGTAGTGAAGATTGTGCTAGAGGACTGAAGAGTAAGCAAGCGAGAGGAAGCAGAGATAATAAGCGAAATAGATTTAGTTGGCGATTTGAGATGGCAATAATAACAACTAGCAGGTCCCAAGACGTGCATCAGGCACACCTTGTCCACAAGGGAGACGATAATCTGTTCGTGAGAACGTATTTATCACGTCTCTTCTTGAAGCTGCCATAAAGAAGGGTGCAGTCATCTCTGTTTATGGAGAGCATTCGAGGTTGCGAAAACTACTAATCAGAAAACGTGTGCATAAACCTGACTGTTCGCTCTTCGATGCTCGGTTTTTCGAGGATCACCTCAAGGGGCCTGGAGGAGATGCTTTGGTAAGGATGATTTGGCGTGCCTAAGATGTTGTACACCATTTTCAGATCACCTCTAATTCTCCTGTAATGGTGCTAGAATCATCTCTAATGCTGAAGTCTGCATTCGTAAGTTTTATTCTTCTTTCCTGTCATCTATTTGGTGACTCGTCTCTGCACTTGATTAATCTCTTTTAAGGAGAGCTGGTGAGACGACGTTTTCAACGTCAAGAATAATTCAGTTGTGATAGCAGAATGTCATCTTCGCACAAGGCGAAGAGTTGCGTTAGACTTGGCTGCGTCACCTATATGGTGGACTTCTATTGATGCTGCAAGTTTTAAGTGTCACGTTAGGCAGAATGTACATAATGCGACACTTCGACTGGTTTAGTTTTAAACGGTCTTTCATTTTACATTCCTCAATGAATGCGAAGTCAGTTTAATAATAATATATTTATTCTCAAATAACTACGTTACAAGAGTCACGCCAGTTTACAGGCTAGATCAAATTGTCACAAATGCTTTCACAATTACTGTTAAGTTATAGCAGTTAAATTAAGTACAAGAGTCATTTTCTGATTGCATATTCACACCATGTCACTGACAGAAACAGTATTATACAGCCACATTTTCAATAGTAGAGTACAAATAAGGAAGGAAGGTGCACAATAGGTTCTTTTGGCGATTTGCCGAGATCAATAGTGAATTTGTTGGGAAAGGTCATATGGAAGGCGCTTGATACGAGCTGTGATCCAGACAGTCATGTACATAGGGTGCATGTTCCCTAGAGTCGCCAAGGATTTTCCACCGTGAATGGGGTTCTGAAAAGGAGAAGAGAGAGAGAAAAAGGCAGCAGTGTGGCAAGTGTATATATATAACCAAAGCACTACTTAACCTGTCATGTTGAAGTAGTCAATACATTAGTAAGTCAAGATAACATTCATACTGACCACTTAAATTAAAGTAAATTATGGGAATATAAGAATATAACGCACAGATAAAGGAGTACAGCAAAAAGAAGGGAGAGTTGTGCAGTGTCAGGTGGATAGAAGAGAAGTCGAAGTAAGAAGCTGGATTTATGTACGTTGAAATCGAAATTCTAGTTGAAAGAGTAGAGTTTGTAAAAATAAAAATTTGACGAATAAAATCTCGCACTGTCTAACTGTTTTTTTTCTTTATTATTGAATGCCAACCTCTAAGTCATACTGTTAGCGCCTGAGTAAGAATGTTGCGGTCGACTCGACAGAATAGCGACCTCAGCATAGTTTTGGAAACATGAACCACAGAAGTAGCAAGCGTATAAGAGCAACCTCAGTGTTACTGATTAGTCGTCTCATCAATCTAAAGAGCCGAAAGCAAACAAAATGTTCTGCCCCACAAACATGGGTTGTTTGAAGTTATCGCCCACACCATCAATGTTTGCTGGTCAGTAACTCCACCCTCCCTCCTTTTGTGTTGTTAGGCTCATGTTAAATGTTTAAAAGAAGCTATTGAGTTCTACTTGGTGTTCTATGTCTCGCATCCTGTTGAGAAACACTATTTCTGTAAGTTCCTTTCACAAACTCGTCTGGCTGTTACAACTTATGAACTATTGGTTATGCATCAATGCTATACAGTCAACAGTTATGGAGAAATAGTGAGGATTTTCAAACAAGATATAAGCATTTAGAATGTAGTGGGGAAGATTTACTTAACTAGCTATGCAGGAGATATAAAGAGTATCGTGGTTAAAAGTTGAGCAATAGATAACACTAAGGGGCCAAGGTAAGTCAATAGCGTGTAAGTGAGAAAAGTATAATTGATAATAGGCAATGTGAAAATCACACAGTTGTAAGTGTTGATAAGGTTGCGCCCAGGAGAGTAGAGTGCATCCTAATCAACCAGTTTACAGTTGAACAGAGTCGATCGACCCAGTGAATAGAGTAACCTGTCTATTTCAAATAAAAACTAAAGAGATTTATATTCAACTAGAAAAATTTAATGCTACCTGGGAGGGTAGAAATAACTAAATAAGACGCAGCACTGAGTTCATTTTGTTTAAAGTGTATGCAGAGCTATTAATATGAAAGCAGGGTGCGAGTGAGTTCACGAGCGCAGAAGAGTCAGTGCAACTGAGAGCATCATTAAGAAGTTGAACAAACTCATGTAACCCACTTGCCATGCGTATTTTTGAGGGAAGTCTATTCCACACAAATGCATACTTAGAGAGGAACAAGATTTCTCGAGTTTTGGATCTGTACTTCTCAAGTTTGACCGTAGATACTTTATCTCCAATGTTATGTGTACGTGGGCCATGGATAAGGACTAAACTACAGTAAGAAGATATGCGAGCTTGTGCAGGAGTTTAAAGGATCAGATTGGGCTTCTGTTCGATAATGGATCAAGCCCAAGTTCATTACATCGAGTTAGATAGTCAATGAGTTAACTATGATTTAGGACTTTTCGAGTAAAATTCCTTTGTATTCCTTCAAGCTTCAATATATCAGACAAGCGTAAGTTGGAAAATAAGAAAGAGCAGTATTCAGCAATAGGTCTTACGCATGTTTTGTAGAGAACTGTTCTGGATTCTCTATGAAGGAAGTTACGAAAGATGAAATCAAGCATTCTTCTCGTTCGGAAAACTTTATTGGAGATGTGATTACTTAGAGCTTTCTTTTTATTAAATTAGAACATGAACGGTACACCTGCGCTTAAGTAGGTTAATAATGAAAAGTAATTCGTATGATAACGAAAATGAAAATAATCTTATGAATAAAGGAATTCAAAAGAAAGAAAGTGATGTGTTTGGATGTCAATGAAGTGGGAAAATAAAAATTTGATAAACTAATAATCGATAAACCAGAAGGAACTCACAGTGATACAAGCAGTTTCAATTCCTTGTAACTGACATTAGTTGGACCGCATCTGCAGGCTTTTCAATTAATCTGTCTACCAGAAACTGCTGGAGACATGAGATCACCAGAAATCACTTTTAAAGGTCCTAGTTTTGTTATTGTATTCTGAAATTTCGAACTTACATAGTTTCGTGCCACTCAACCTTCAGCTCACAATTCCCACTCGGAATTATTTTAGTACGCTATTTTGTGGCTCCATCAAGTGCGTTTCTATCATGTATAACTATGCTTGATTCGTGTGCTTGTCAACCTCTTGTTTTCTAGGTGCTTGTAGAATTCACTTTCTACGCCTCATCGGAACTTCTTGATACAGTAAGCCGGTCAGGGGACAAATGAATTTGGCAATGGAAAATCCTTGTTTATCCCTGGTCCCATATTCTTTCTTTCTCAGTGTCCATTGCCTGTTAAGAGATTAAAGCAGTGTTGATGATTTTCACTGGGTCTCACAGTTTACATGTAATTGAAGACCATAGTTTATTTTCGTTTTAGTAACTGCTTATCCTTGCCATCTACCCCTCTCTGCTGCTGCCTCCTAATGACATCATCAAAATACGATTATTGTTAAGGTGTATCACTGAATTTCATTTTGTTTTTCTTTGATTTCCTCACGCAAATCGTATTCATGGTACAATATAAGATGAATTGATGTTACTTTAAACAAGAAAAGGTATTTAAATCTTGAAAATGTTAGATTATACAATGACTTATACAATAATATCATATTGATTGATTAGTTTGATGCAGTGGTTTGTCTATGTAAACTTTTGTTGTATCATGTATGATGTCATATCACAACAGAGTACTCATAAGTTTGACTGATTAACCAACCACTTGATGATCTAGACATTGATTACTAATTATTTTCGATCATCATCATCATCGTCATCATCATCATCATCATTATCATCCCCAGTTGTTTATTTTTGTAATTTTTCATAGAAAATTATTTGTTTACTCGATAATAATGATAATATTTAATAAAATGTCAGATAAGAGCGTTTTTTTTAATGTACACAGACATGTAATGAACATCAGATTTTTTATCAGTCGGTATTGTTTAATTATGTCAACAACTTTTTATTTGACAATTATTATACAAGTGTGGTGCGCGCTACTTATAAGTAGTGTATGACGTGAGTGTAAACGTAATGTCTGGCAGCAGCTGATGGGGGAAGATCAAGAACGGAAGAGTGGGAACACAAGGGAATTTGTATGAAACGCATGAATAGTGAAATGTCGGACAATGGATTGATGATTGATTGAAGATTTGCCAATTAACCATTTACGATATGGTTTTCCTATTTTTACTGAGTAACTCTGTAATTTTCGTTAAATACAATTCGGTTGCTCTCACCTGTGTTCTCCTTCACTACACAAGTACTATTAGTGTATAACAATCTCATTCATTTTAATGTCACAGTGGATTACTCGTTGATTTGATTGATGATTTAAATTCATCTTTGCACACATGAAAGTAAGAAAATGTCAATGAGTTGCAAGTATTCTTTCCGAGTGATGGGACTATTGAGTAGTATGTAATTTTTCTAGGGGCGAGAGTGTAATATGACAACTACTAGTTAGGGATCAATGAACTCTTGAGTGTTGTTTATGTAATGACACATTACCATAACACTAAACTGATTACATTATCCTTAAGTCATATAACTTAGAACCTTCGGGGCTACTGCCGGTCCCAAGCCCGGGTAAAGGAGGAGGGTTGGACATGGGGTTGGCGACCCCATTCCGTCAAAAACTAACTTGCCAAAAAAACGCTAACCAGAAAAAATAATTCAAACAATTTTAACTCTGCCCTGGGAGTTGGAGGAAGAATTATGACGTCGCGTGATGAAAGCCGAGTTCCCTCGGAAGTCACGGGGCTGATGACTCTTCTGACAACCAGAGCAACCATTTTTTTAGGTACATGGAACGTTCGTACATTGTGGGAGACTGGAAGAATATTTCAAGTTGCGGCAGAAATGAGAAGATACAACCTCGAGGTGCTTGGAATCAGTGAAACACATTGGACACAAGTAGGACAACTGAGACTAGCTTCAGGGGAACTGCTGTTATACTCTGGTCATGAAGAGGAAAATGCTTCACATACACAAGGAGTTGCATTGATGCTGTCCAAACATGCACAAAAGGCACTAATAGGATGGGAATCTCATGGACCTAGGATCATTAAAGCATCCTTCAAAACAAAGAAAGAGGACATTACAATGAACGTCATCCAATGTTATGCACCTACCAACGACTACAATGACGACGTTAAAGATCAATTCTACGAAAGGCTGCAGTCAATCGTCGAGAAATGTTCACCAAAGGATTTGACGATTCTTATGGGAGACCTGAATGCCAAGGTCGGAATGGACAACACTGGATATGAAGACATCATGGGACGACATGGACTGGGAGAAAGAAACGAAAACGGTGAGAGATTTGCAAACCTATGTGCCTTCAACAAACTGGTCATCGGTGGCACAATATTCCCGCACAAACGCATACACAAAGCTACATGGATTTCACCGGATCACACTACTCAAAACCAGATTGACCATATATGTATCAACAAAACGTTCAGAAGGACTATGGAGGATGTGAGAACCAGGAGAGGAGCTGATGTAGCCTCAGATCACCATTTGCTAATCGCCAGAATGAAACTGAAACTAAAGAAGCACTGGACAACGGGACAGACAACATCACAGAAGTTTAATACAGCCTTTCTTCGGGATACTGTAAAGCTCAACGAATTCAGGATAGCCCTCACCAATAGGTTCCAGGCCTTTCAGGATCTACACAATGGAGAGGACGCAACATTGGAGAACAATTGGAAAGGGATTAAGGAGGCAATCACTTCAACATGTCAGGAGGTCCTTGGTCGCAAGAAGCACCATCACAAGGAATGGATCTCTGTTGATACTGTTGCAAAAATTGAAGAAAGGAGGAACAAGAAAGCAGCAATCAATGTCAGCCGAACAAGAGCGGAGAAAGTTACCGCACAAGCTGCATACACAGAAGCAAACAGGGAAGTGAAGAAGAGCATCAGAGCTGACAAACGAAAATATCACAAAAGGAGGCAGGGTGGTGTATCTGACCAGCATCCATGACGGTGGGGCGATAACCTCAATCTACCCATGTCTGTGTGGCAGAACATTTTGTTTGCTTACGGCTCCTTACGATATGGCAGGATGTAACAAATCAGTGATATTGATGTTACTTTTCCTAGTTAACCTCGTCTACAACCCATGTCTGTAACCTTGCACTGGTTTTTACTTCCTACCGAGAAATCCTATTACAAGCTGGTCTGGACAACTATACTAAAAAAGAGCTCATTCATGACTTCTTGAGCCTCAGAGTTAAAAGTAAAAAGAATAAATAAAACCAAAAAATTATATCACTGATCCTCTTTATTATATTTTGTAAATCAACTTTATTACTAACAACTTGGTACTTCTGAATTTCCTCTATTCTTTCGACAAACTTCCCAATAGTTATCTCACCAATAATTTGTCTTCATTAACCTACATAAGTGCAGGTGTACAGTAATGACATTAAAAAAGTCTGAGTAAACATACCTTTGTTTTATCTATAAACGTATTTTCTGTTCCGCTCCTCGTCCCGTCTTCTTTATTCCTCTTTTTTCAGAACCTTATTCCAATCCTCATATATTAGTCTGGATATTTGCAGTAGACTTGGTTACCCTACCCAAGAACATGTAAAATCATTAGCTGATGAATATCAACCATACCTTTGTACATTTACCGCATCAATTCTTGTTATATGCAAACCTATCTCTACCATGAATCGTTTCTCAGTCCATAAGATGATTGTCGTAACGCAACCTTCGTAACTTGCGCCAATTATTCGCATTGAACATTCCATCTTTAAGAACACAATGAATCTTGTGAAATGTTTCAGTAAATGTATACCGTTTTAAAAGAAATATGTTGTTAATCTTAACATTTTGATCTTGCCTGTAAATTGGCATGTCTCTTGTAACATGTTTGTTATTTGAGAATAAATTATTATTATTATTATTATTATTATTATTATTATTATTATTATCTAGCAATGACGGCGGGAATGGCTGCAAGAGAAGGAAACTTGAGACAATTGTACGAAACAACAAAGAAGCTCGCCGGAAACTATCGTAAACCAGAACGACCAGTGAAAAACAAGCAACGCAAAGTAATCAGCAACACTGAACAACAGCGAAATAGGTGGGTAGAGCACTTTAAGGAACTATTGAATCGACCAGCTCCACTGAACACACCCAACATCGAAGCAGCATCCACGGACCTCCAAATTAACATTGGCGCACCTACGATTGAGTAGATCAGTATGGCCATCAAACAAATCAAGAGCGGCAAAGCAGCAGGACCAGACAACATTCCAGCAGAGGCAATGAAAGCAGATGTGGAAGCAACTGCGAAAATATTTCACATCCTCTTCAAGAAGATTTGGGATGAGGAACAAGTACCATCAGATTGGAAAGAAGGATACCTGATCAAAATACCAAAGAAAGGCGATCTCAACAAGTGTGAGAACTACAGAGGCATCACTCTTCTCTCAATACCAGGCAAAGTCTTCAACAGGGTGTTGTTAAACAGAATGAAGGACTTCGTAGACGCCCTACTTCGAGATCAACAGGCCGGATTTCGTAAGGATCGATCGTGTACTGACCAAATTGCTACATTACGGATCATTGTGGAACAATCAATAGAATGGAACTCACCACTCTACATCAACTTCATCGACTACGAGAAAGCATTCGATAGCGTGGATAGGAAAACACTGTGGAGGCTTCTTCGACACTACGGTGTGCCTGAGAAAATAGTTAACATCATACGGAATTATGATGGATTCAACTGCAAAATTGTACACGAAGGACAGCTAACAGACTCTTTCGAGGTGAAGACCGGTGTGAGGCAAGGTTGCTTACTCTCACCCTTTCTCTTTCTCCTGGTCATCGACTGGATTATGAAGACGTCAACATCTGGAGGGAAGCACGGTATCAACTGGACAGTTAGGACGCAGCTGGACGATCTGGACTTTGCAGATGACCTGGCTCTTCTATCGCACACTCAACAACAAATGCAAGAGAAGACGACCAGTGTAGCAGCAGGTCTCAACATACATAAAGGAAAAAGCCAAATTCTCCGATGCAACACAACATGCACTAATCAAATCACTCTTGATGGAGATGCTTTGGAGGACATTAACACCTTTACATATCTTGGCAGCATCATCGACGAGAAAAGTGGATTCGATGCAGATGTGAGGGCACGGATTGGCAAAGCGAGGGCTGCATTTCTACAGTTGAAAAATATCTGGAACTCCAAACAACTTTCAACCAAAACCAAAATCAGGATTTTCAATACAAACGTCAAGACAGTTCTACTGTATGGAGCGGAAACATGGAGAACTACGAAAGGCATCATCCAGAAGATACAAGTGTTTATTAACAGTTGTCTACGCAAAATACTTCGGATTCGTTGGCCAGAAACCATCAGTGATAACTTACTGTGGGAGAGAACAAACCAGATTCCAGTGGAGGAGGAAGTCAGGAAGAAGCGGTGGAAGTGGATAGGACACACACTACGAAAAGCACCTAACTGCGTCACCAGACAAGCCCTCACACGAAATCCTCAAGGCAAAAGGAAAAGAGGAAGGCCAAGGAACACATTACGCCGAGAAATAGAGAAAGATATGAGAGGAATGAACAAAAATTGGACAGAACTGGAGAGGGAAGCCCAGGACAGAGTTGGTTGGAGAAAACTGGTGGGCGGCCTATGCTCCATTGAGGGTAACAGGCGAAAGTAAGTAAGTAAGTAAGTAAAGTCATATAACTTGAAATAAATTTTATGGTATTGAATTATTTATTATTATCATGTAATTTTTCGTTAATTATCTTTTAATTTTGTTAAACTCATCGTACATTGTTGATATGATTTTTAATAAATAACACCTGTTCTCTGTGTTTGTGATGTTATTTACAATTGAAATACAATCGATTAGACTTATTTATATCTTTGTATTGAAATATCTACTTAATATGCTGTTCATATTGTAGACTGTTATTCGTTCTATTACCATCTTTGAAAGTATTCCTTGTATTCATCCAGTAGCGATATATAATAAATAACTTTAGCAACTTAAGCTCTATCATTCACAGGAAAACTTTCCCAAATATAAGCCATTTTATTCTGTTATATTTACTTTTTTGATCAGCTTATTATGTAGCAAATGTAAATTTGATTTATGCAAGTTGTAATGGTTTTTAAGTAATACAAACGATGAAAATGTTTCTCAATTTCAACTTTTTTAATAATGTTTCTATTTGAAATAATTTAGCTTGATAAACTACATAAAACTTCATAGTATTTTGATATGTACTATGATTAAGAATTAAAATTCAAAGTTTATTTTGATCAACATATTATTCACTACATATCATA